TTTTCCCCCAGTCCCTCCACAATTGCTGTGATTCTTGTTCTTGTCCTCTTGCTCCACACAGGGTCAAACATCCTGCATCTCATTGTCCCTTCTGTCTCTTTAATTAGTGCCCGTCCTCCCCCTTCTCCCCCTCGCTCCAGTGTCCCCCCTTCCCATCTCCTTTCAGCACTTGGTTTGCAGCGCTCTATTATTTCACCTTTCACGTGTGCAGCCTCCTTTGCCCGGGCCCATGTGACACCTCTGCCTTACACTCATCATGGAAACATAACATTTAAATACAAATAGAACAGGGAATAATTTAACCCCTATTTGCACTGGGGAAGGTGCAAAGGCTGCATATAAACACTGCAGGGAGGTCTATAGATGTTGTATATTTATCTTACAAGTTCTGTTTCTCCTCTTGGTGCTTTGCAGCCTGCTTTTCCTGACAGGCATGAGCCTCCACTTCTGGCAGAGTGGTCAAGAAAAGGGAAGCCTGGTTCCACAGGGATATTGGAAATGTCACCAAAGGGACACCTCTGAGAACTCTGATTTGTTATTGCAGTGGTCTTTCTCTCGCTTCCTGTCCTCCTGTGAGGATCTTGGAGAGCTACCTTCTGTCACTGTTGTGATTTATTTATGGCAAAATAGGGCAGACCTGAAAGGAACTTAATTTTCAGTATTATCAAAATTCACCATCAACACCTCCTTGGCTCTCCTGGGTGGCACCACACACAAAAATACCCACCCATGGTTGAACATTTCCATGGCAAAGCAGGCATGATGACTCACCTTGTAGAAAAAAACTGATAGTGGGGTGTACAATGATAAGGGAAGACAAAAATATGAGGAGAAGAGGCTCACAAGGACACCGTATTCAGCTGCAATGTTGCAGGGCAGTGTCACTGCTCATAGTGGCGCCAGTTTAGAGACATTGCTGCAGCACAGTGCAGAGTCCTTCAAATGAGACAGAAACTGAAATTGTGGCGTGGGAGAATGTAACAGACAGAAATTTGGTTGTTCTTCACAAAAGCAAAGGGAAGATGCTCAGATATGAATGAATACTTGATGCACAGCCATGTTTGGCCTTGAGGAGGCTACATGGAATAGGTCCCTTTCATCACACCTGCTCTTAGACAAGCTGTGTAAGCTCACTGTCTTCATTGCCCTCATAGGGAGGAGATGGAGGATGCTCTTCCTGTGTGCTCATCTCTGTTGAGCAGGTAGGTGCAGCTGCCTCTCTGTGGCCACAGACCAGCTTAGGTTGGAGTACAAGGTCATGTCCGCAGCTCACACTGGGGACTTGTCAGATCATGGCCTCTTTTCACCCTTCTCTTGTGCCCTGGACAGTGTTCACTTTGGTCTGGGACCCATGTCTTAGGAAGTCTGGTCTGAAGATTTTTTGCCCCACAGTCCCACAGTCTGAAATGGCATTGAGCACTGAGCATGGCAGTGGAGAGAGAAGGGACTGAGTCTGCCCGGTGCTCTGAAATTTAGGTGTGGATCCTGAGACTCGTGTAGTGGGAACAATGTCTCACTGAAAAAGGACAAAGCATGGGACTCAGGATGATGATATGGATGGATTAATTTTGGTAGAGACAGACCCTACAGGCAGGAAGAGCTTAGGGACATCATCATTTAGAACTGCTCCAGGCTTATTTGCAGCCTGAGACTCAGATTTTTGTAGGATGTAGCACCCTCAAATCTCACTACAGGACACTGGAAACATCTGGTGAGGAGCACCAGTGGTGTGCACACATGCTCAAAACACACCTTGGTGACATCAGCACATCCCCTCTTTATTTTATTCTTGCAAACCCATGGCCTTTTTTAGATATATTTACAAAACAGAAGTAGTTTTCTTGGCGCTTGGCATGCCAGTTTTTTTGCCTGGGATGTGGAAGAGCAGTGTATGATGATGCCCAGAGTGTAAGAAGCTCATAAAAGACCTTTGCAGAATAAAATCATTAGCCAAGACCTGGAACATATTAAATGGTCCCTTCTGCTGGACTCTTCCCTCTCTTTTTCTGTTCAGGATATGTGATAAAAATTGTTAAAACACAGTGTTGAGTTCCCTGAAAGAGCTGGGATGTGAGAGGCAAATGCAGCACTTTGTTATAGAAACTACTGAAAGTAAAAAAACTTGTTAAATCAGCTCATTTTTATCAGTCTAGAGTGTGATGGTGTACAGTTCTGATGACAGATATAACAAATTATCCCCCTGACTACAAAGGGTGCTGTTTCTCAGGATGCTGGTTTGGAGATGTGTTTGGTGGTGATGTCCAAGCAGTGGCTGTCCATGGGGATCCCCTGCACACCATCTCCCTGGACCAGCAGTTCCTGGGGAAGGCGATCCTCGCCTTTGACAGAGCTGACCTGATGGTCAGATGACCGTCTGATGGGCAGCTCACCAAAGCACCACATCCTCTGCCAGCCAGTGCAGTCCCAGTGCACTGCAAAGATGTGGTGTGAGGGGATGTAAAAATAATAATTTGAGCAGTTCCTAAAGCACCTGGTTTCAGTTTTGCATAAACTAGACCAGACAAGGCAGTTTCAGGCCAGTTCCACACTAGAGAGTTTTGCTGACAGAGGAGGGATGTGATTTTTTTTTTTTTTTTAGATGATACATTTATATTAGCAAAAAGTCTGGTGAAAACAGTTCCACAGCTAGAGGAGTGCTTTTGCTGATGCAGCTTATTTGAAACAGGGGAAGTTGTATAAAGAACAATATGACAATCTTCTCTTGTGCTGGAAGCACTTAACAGTCAAAGTTTCTAGGCAAAACCTTTTGCCAGTCATGTTCCTAGCTCTTTCCAGCTGATCTGCCCCCTTCCTAAAATATCTTTCAGGAAGCTGGTCCCATTTGCTAGGTAAGTTTTCTTCCAACACCTGGGAAACCTTTGGACTTTGGGCTGGACTCGTTTCCTAAGGCTCTATCATGCCCTAGACTAAAGGACACTCCCCAGTGCACAGCAGCTCCTTCCCTAAGGCTTGTACCTCACATCTTGGAGTCTCTTTTGCAGGACACTTTGGCCATTGGGCAAACAAGCCTTTCACATGTCCAAATCACCTTCTTGTTAGGTGGGGACATCCTACAAGTTGCATGGTTTTAGGTGGGGCTTTGTGCACCACTACAGTCTGGACTGTTTTTTTGCCAGCAAAGACCTCAAACACTTCTCTGCATAATAAATTCCAACATAAAGTAGGAATATTTCTTGCTTTAATAGGTCTACCAGAAGGCTATTTCTGTTTTTCTCACCTATCAGAAGTTTACCTGTATCTCCCTAAGCCTATTTTTCCTACCAGTTCAGCAGCCTAGCTGAAGGCAACATAATTCCTGCTTTTCTGTGGGCAGTACACTTTTTGTTGTCATGGATAACTCGACTGCAGGGTTGAAAGCACCTAATACCCTCATTCAATAGCCACTGCATGAAAAATTATTCACATCCAAGGCTGTAAAGTAATTTGCCAATGTGCAGGTGCATCTTGGAGAGGGGAATTTTGATCAAACACTGGTTTGAAGCAGAACAGATTGCCTACTCCAGTGATTTCTCAGTGAACAAAAGTGACATGAATTGCCCAATTAGTCAGCCAGAAAAGGGTTATTGCAAACCAGTGTTCTGTTCAGCTTTAGGTTAACCTGTACACTAAAAAAATAAATTAAATTTAAAAAAAAAATTTTGATACTTACATATACTTATTCAAATTAGTTACATCTGCTCTGTAATGTGCTCTGAAAAAAACCCTCTTGGTTCACACATTTACATACAGTCTAATGAATCATAAATAAGACATTTATGAATCATGTACAAATAGCCTGTTTACATACAAGATGTAAACTATGTAAATTTCCATTTTTCTCAGTGTAATGATAGTAGTCTTGGAAAGGAACCTGATCTAGAGAAGTGACTCAGTCTCCTCTGAGATCCTTCTGACAATCATTTTTTTTACCAATATTTTCTGGAGGTGTCCCATGAAGATACTCAAACTTGGTTTAAGTCTAAGCATAAATCATAGAATTATTTGGGTAGGGAGGGACCTTGAAGGTTATCCCATTCCAATTCCTGCTCTGGGCTCACTGCAGCAGGTCCCTGTCCCTCCTGTGCTGAGAGCCCAGCTCTGGATGCAGTGCTCCAGGTGGGTGTCAGCAGAGCAGAGCAGAGGGGCAGAATCCCCTCCCTGCCCTGCTGCCCACGGGGCTCTGGATGCAGCCCAGGACACGTTTGGTCCTGTGAGTGCACAGTGCTGGGTCACACTGAGCATCCTTGTTCAAAATACAATTATCCACTGGCAGAAAATGTCCTGCTTTGGCACGAAATACCACCTGCCTGAGCTATCTCATATACTAACAATCGTATAAGTTAACTTTATATTTCAAAAAACAATTTAAGTTTCAAAAACTTTGGGCTCATTTCACATGAACTTTATAAATATATTAAAATCTCATCCAAACTTGTAGATACATGTCTCTGAGTGGGCATGAATGACAAATCTCCAGTTTACAGGCTGTGACTTCCGTTATATCCTGATTTTAAAAAGCTTATGTTAAACATTTTTTTCCTGCAACTTATTTAGTGTTGTGAGGGCTACTGACTTATGTTATTTTTCATTTGGACTTGATTCCAATCTACTATATTTATCACATTCCTCTTGGATTGCAGTCTGAACAGTGTTGTCATTTCAGCTACTGCAAACTGACTGCAAAAACTGATAGAAGAAGCTGATTTGGAAGACTTTGGTGCCCAGATTTTAAGAGGCAGATAAAGACTTTATAAATAACCAAACCGTTTTTGTTTGTTTGGTGGTTTGGTTTTTCCAAAATTTGCTGGATTATTTCCAAGTAGTCATGTGAAGTCAGAAGCTGTTAAGCTTTTTCAAGCCAGCCACCTGAAAAGATTAGCAGCTTCTGCGATGTGTCACCTCAGTGAAGTCACCGTTTGTGTTGCATGTGATACTGAGCCATCCTGGCTTTCACATCCCTCCTGAAATGTGGTAAGCATCTCTTTATTTTGTTCCAGAAGACAGAAAACTCTTTGTGGGCATGCTCAATAAGCAGCAGTCGGAAGACGATGTGCGCAGGCTATTTGAGGCATTTGGCAACATCGAGGAGTGCACGATCCTTCGGGGACCCGATGGCAACAGCAAAGGTAAGGGATGCTGTGCTGAGCTAGACCCTGGTCTTTGTGTATATCTCATTTTCTGGAGTGACAGGAGTATTATGCAGCCCGCAGAACAACACCTCCTATTTAGGAGGGGGCACATTTTTACTCTGCTAGTCACTCTCTGCTTGTGCATCAGAGGAAAAAGCTGATCACATTGTAAAGCACTCATCTCCAGTGGCTATGGGTCACCATATGCAAACTGATGCCTCCCCTCTGAATAGGGCCTTTGCACTCAAGATGGACTCTCCCCACTCCTGTTCCTGTTGAGCAGGATGACTCTTTCCTTAAAAAAAGCCAATATCGGTACTTTACATCTTGACTCACTGGCTCCATCATCGCCTTTGTTGGTGTCTCATCCAACAGCCCCAGGTCTTTGTCTTCTTCACCTGGTCTTTACATGGACTCATACCAGCCAGTGCTTGCAGCTGCAAGGGTACAGGTGCCAGTGTAAATATTATGCTCATAACACATTTACTCTTTTAAACACATAAATACCTCATTGCAAAACTAGGTGCCTTACCTCCTTCTGCCACTTTTTTAACCTGGATAGCACAAAAAATCTTCTGCTACAGCCCAGGCATGAGTGAGGGTCCTTTCTTGTGCAGGAAGGTCATATTTTTCCCCAAAAGTCTCTAGACAAAGTAACTTCAATATGAATAGGAAACCCTCTCCTCCTGGCAGTTAATGTGTCCATTAAATATTGATCTGCATGTAATAGAGCATAAACTGTGTTGGCATGTGCAACACCAGAGAAGAGGCCAGTCCTGCCGACACAGTTCTTATCTCACTGGATGTTTTGACAAGTGACAACATCAACCAGCACATTTTTGCAACAGGGAGGCAAAAAAATCCAAATTGCAGTGATGCACTGGAGAAATATATGGGTATTCCATAAAATCACTGGCGGCCAAAAAAATTACTTTACACCAGCTTTCAACAGTCATCAGCACAGATCAACCTTCTTGATATAAATGGCTGAAAATAAGCTGTGGGCACCATTTTTCAGTTTTGGGGTTACTTCATTTCCACAACACCCAAAGACAGGGGCTGGCCCACAGGGAAGTAGTAGGCTAGGATGTCCTGGAGAAGCTCCAAGCACCATAAGAGCTGACAGTTAAGCATGTCATTCACTGAGCAAATCAGTAAATTGGGGAAAAGCAAAAAAACCATGTCTGTCTGCTTCCACCTGGAATGAAATCTAATGACAAAGGAGTTAAACAGAGTAATAATAAAGGCAATAAAGTGTGAGTTCTGTAAGAAACGAATTCCAGAGGACATCCAACCCACAGACTTGTCTTAATACTTGCTCTATCTTTTCTTTTTTTCTCCTTCTAAAACAATTTCATTATAAGACAGAATCTGAGTGGCAGCTCCATATTGCTAACCAGTTTAATTATTAGTGCTAGCAGGCTGCAGTCTCAGGCTGACGTTTCACTGAACTGTTCAGGATCAATACTGAGCCTTGACAGAGTTAATATTACCAGCTTCCATTTGCTGGTGCTATTTACTGAGAATCTGAAGCTCCTAATTTACACACACACGGTTTCGTGCATGCACACATGCACACAGAGCAGTCAATCCAATGGAAAACTTAAGGCTAGTGCCCTTATCTTAGGAGACAGTCAGGCAAGCCACAACTCCCACAAAGTTATTCCCAGTCTGTAATGTTTTCCATCTGCTAGAAACCAATATGTGACATACGTTGCTTGTGAGCTACTTATTTTGGGTAAAACCCATAAGGCTTAAATTCTATGTAAGTTGAGATTTAAGCAGATTGTCTAAACTCCAGATAGCAGTCAAATCCCATGCACTTAAATCCTGCCCAGCCTACCAGGTATCCCTGTGATGAGCCTCTACCCCCTTCAGGTAGCTCAGTACAATAATCCTATCACAGTTTAGGCATAGCCAAAAAGCTGCCTAAGCCTTTCCTGAAGCTGTGGGTACCCTCCTGAGCCATGGGCTGTGGCCTTCAGAGTCTGCAGATATACCTCCTGCAGGAGTTGCAGTGCTAGAACAGTGGCTGGAGCAGGCAACCAAGTGGTAGAAGAGCTGGGACTGAGGAATTTCTCACCCCGAAGGGGAACGCAGAACCTGTGTTTCCTGGGAGAGGATGGAGTGCTTCTGCAGCACTCCAGGTAAAGTTCACCAGGGTCCAGGCAGGAGTACAGGTGAGGGGCTTGAAGTGGATCCAGAAGGACCCACAAAGTCTTCATTGCTGCTGCTCTCTGTGCAGCTATTCTTTTCCCCTTTCTAATTTTTTTCCCATTCAGCAGTCTGCCTCAATAACTCAAAAAGTAAAAATTTCCAACAGCACCCTCCACAAGGGTGCCTTACAATCCCAGGGCCTGATTCTGCAGTCTCCTCCAAGCTGACAAAACAATCAGGGCAGACTTTCCAGCTCCAGTCTGGAAGCAAGGGAACAAGAAAACCTTAAGCACATGTATCACCCTGTTCAGCAGAGGTTATATCTCTGTGTGTGTCAAAATCCCTTCACAGTCCAGAGCTGCTCCTGTCAAAAGGACACCATTGTTCTGAGAAGAGTGACATGACTCACATCCCCAGCTCATCCGCTCCTGGAGGCAGTTCTGGTGACAATGGGAAGGAAGATTATATGCACTTCTGGTGTTGTGTACAGAAGGCATCTGATTGAATGCACAAACAAAAAGGACAAAACGTTGGGATCTCTGCTATTGCCTTGCCATTTACACCAGTAAAAGCTGAGTTTTCACTCATCCTGCTACCTCAAAACCTACTGGAAGCAGTTAATAGAAAGCAGTAGGAGGCATCCCATTAGCATCCTGAGCATTAAACAAGATAAATGCCTGCTACTCCCTTTATTCCCACCTTTATCCAGCTCCACTGATCCATCAGGACCCTCAGCACAGGGGTGAATTTCACCTGACAAGAGTGAAGCCTTCAACATGACAGCAGTACCACAGCCAAAAACCCTGCTTTAAATTAAACTGGTGACTGGAACTGGAAAGCTTTTGTATATTTGCTAATCAGCATCTTCTTTTTAGAGGCAGAAAGTACAAAAGAATCTCTGCAAATAATTAAACACCCTAATTCTGGATTATCTCTGATTAATGAAGAGGAAGACGCAGTATCTCAGGAGCCTGGGAATGCTGGGCTGGGATTATGTCATAATTGATCCCTATTGTTTCCAGCTGAAGTTTATCTATCTCATTTTCTCATGATTGTCTCTTCTCAGCTCCTTATAAATTAGATCCAACTATTAGCAATAATCATTGGGCCTTTCCTGAAATACAGCCCAAGCACAGTGCTGAGAGGGTGACACAAAGTGAACAACCCTCAAAGTGAACTGTAAGATATTTTATATGTGTAGCTTATTTTTAGAACAGGCTATCACTGCTTTCTTCAATCGCACTTCTCTCAGCCTGCAGTGATGATTTTAGGGACCTTTGGGGTTCATTCTTCTACTTTCATCTCTTGTACTTTTACCCTGCACTGTAGGGATCCAAAAGGGTGTGAAGACTCCCTAAACTTTCTGCAAAGGGGCTGAAGGAGAGCCATCCCACTTTCAGGACTGACATCCCGTGCCCTGCAATCTGTACCCCTTCAGGAAAACTGAGAGGGCTTTGCAAATTGATTAAAAGCTCAAAAGTTATTGGTAGTAATAGAAGGGAATGGAAGCCAAAACTTCTCAGATCTCTCCCAATCTGTTCCAGAAACTGCCTTAGCATATGGAAATTACCCTTCTCATCTCTGAGTCAGTTTACTTGTAGCTGGGAGTGTTGGCAATACTTCCCCCCACCTTAGAAGTGCATGTAACCCTTTGAAATGTTGATCATTTTTGCACTCCAGCACATACCCATAAATGCACCTTTCTGCCTTAAAACCTTATGTAAGAGTTCGGTGTGAGATTCCCCACACAGCAATACAGGCCAGAGAAACACTGCCCACACTTCTCTAATGCCCAGAAGAGAACACCTACACAGGCACTGACTTTGCAGCTGTGAAAAACTAGGATTCAAGTTTCAGTGGTGGCAGGATGGTAATCAACACATGGGTACCTCTCCCACCCCTGCTACTTCACCAGAAGGTGTCTCATGCTTTGCCAGACCTAAGTGGCTTGGAGCCAAGACAAGCTCTGGGCAGTCTGTCACGGAGCTCTACCAAGCAGTGAAATTATAAGGTACCTTGTGGGTTTGGAGTGACTTGAATACCTTCTGTACACTTGTCCTGTGGTTGCTTGCATCAAGAATGTGCAGCTTTCCAGTAACTTGCACATGCTTCCATGTTGTTTCTCACAACCACAAAGGGAGGAGCACTCATCATTAGGTCTAATATAAATAAAAGAAACAGCTTTTTCACTCAATAAATTGTAAAACTGTGCAAGATTCTGCCGTGGAAAGCTGTGGATGTCAAAACATGACTGGATTCAAGATGTTCTTGCTAAGTTTGTGTCTGTCAGTACTTACAACAAGTAATGTGGAAATTCTGGAAGCAGCTTAGCCTTAAGAGGTCCTCAGGCTGCTGAGGTCTGGACTCTGGACACTTTTGTTGTTATACTTTCTTCACAACCGTATTATTGGGCAGTTCTGGGGACAGGATACGAGGCTAGATGGAATTTCATGGTATCCATGCAAACTTTCTTATGCTCTTTATTTTTTCCTCTTGCAGGGTGTGCGTTTGTGAAATACTCTTCACATGCAGAGGCCCAGGCTGCCATCAATGCCTTGCATGGCAGCCAGACAATGCCGGTGAGTAGCTCTGTAACACAGGCAGGTGAGAACTGGGCCAGCCCTCGCTGCCCTGTGGCCTGATTGAGGAGGAAAAATTATTTATCTATGCTCTGCCACTCATCATCCAGGCAGGCCCAGGGCCTTGGGTGTGCTTAACTCGTCAGAGGAGAGGCTGGGATGGCAATGTCAATCCTCACAGGCACAGCACACCACTGGGTGCTGTGTTCTGCCACCAGCAATCTTGATGGCCTGAAAAAAAGACATATGTTTCACACATGCCAAAAAGTTTGGGTCAGACACAACCATTGACACAACCATTCAGGTTTCAGAGGGATGAATCAAGTAGAAACTGGTGTGTAAGGGGTTTTTCGTTTTCCCTCCTCAGAGAGTCCGTGTCTCTAGGCAAAGGATAAAGAACTTTTTGCCAGCTCTCAGCAGAGAGAAGCATGTTCACATCATGTGCTAGGGGCTAGAGACAAATCACAGCAGTGATGGGTGCCTGTCACTTTTACCACAAAAGTACCAACCTAGGCATAAGTCTGGTGCCATACACCTGCCCTTTGAAAGTGTGTCAGACCAGTTACTGGATCTTCCAGGAAATACCTGAAGGATCAGTCCACTTGCACAAATTTCTAGTCATATGGGGTTTCAAGACTGATTGTTCAATTAAGAATAGAAAATAGAAACGGGGTTGTATTTCTGTGCAAATAGATATTTGTACACCACCATGAGACAGAGAAGGATATAAGGCATTCCACTGTCAGTATGAGAAGAAAATGTGGTACAAGTTGTTTTGGTTTATTATAATAGTGTATTATTTTTATTACTAATTATTCACAGTATAAATCATGAAAGGCTAAGAAGCATGTTGACAACTTGGAAAGGATACAAGAAAGCTCAATTAAAAATATTTGAGAGTGTAAAATCTCCCTTCCAGTAAGAGACTCTAATGTAAATTCATGAATTTATCCAAATAAGTTTAAAATGGGCCCAACAGATTTTCTCTAGATCTTTGCAGGGATGAAAAAGGAAATTCTTTACAAGCAAAAAGGTTTCTAAAACTAGCAAACTATCAAGATCTCATTTTTTGGAACCCCATCTTAGACAAATCTGTTTAAAAATGGTACATGTTTACCAGTGATGGTACCAAAAAAAGTCTCCTCAAATATGGGGTCTCCATTTTTTGAAGTACTTAAATACTTTTAAGAACCACTTCCTAAAAGGCTCCTCCTAAAAAAAACCCACATGTTGGGCTTGATGCTGACACCCCATACTGATATATTATGGACATCTTTCCTGAGACAGGTTAAAGAGGTACTTTTAGTGACTTTCTTTCAAACTTTGACCCAAAGTGACAGCGTCTATAAGCTGACATCAAGAATTTCATTCAGTAGGGTGTGGTACCACAAAAAGCGTTAGTAAAAAATCAGTCCTCATCCCAAAAACCCTGCAAATTCCTGTGACAAAGGCAAGAGGAAGACATGAAAAAACAGACAAAACACAAGGAGAGTTAAAATTTTGTCTAGATCTAGTATATCCAAAATATCGTTATTCCTCCCCAGGCCTTTCCCTTCCTACTTTCAGAACACTTTGGATTAGAAAAACATACTCACATCACAGCCACCTGGAAAAAACTTATGACTCCCTCCTGGTGGTATCACCTGAGCTTGGGATATACAAAACACCTGAGAATTTGTCCGCTTCACGGATCAATTTTATGGGGCCATTTGTCCTCTTGACTTATCCAACTCAAACACCTGTTATAGAAATATTCTTTAATAACCAGAGCTGGGCATCTGAAAAAACAACACAATTTATCCTTTACTAGGTGGCCATTCAGACTCAGATTCAAGTTTCCTCAGCTTCACAAGTTTCCATGGGTTGGCTGAACTGCACAGTACATACTCATAGCTCACAGAAAAAGGAAGGAGGAAATTCATTTCATTACATAAGCTAACTTACATGGCATTGCCTTGCGTCTCCCATGAGCTACAAGCAGGCACAACACTGCTACCATGTCATTGCAGACCCATGAGGACCTGCAGAGCAACCAACACTCAATGAAGACATGGAGTACAACAGATTTTTCCCCACAGTGGCTGAAAATCTCTGAGGCTCTTAGAAGGAGATAGGCCAAATGCTGCCAGGATCTCAGTGCCCATTGTTGTTTTCATGGTACTTGGGGGCCTGCAGCATTGCTCAGGACTTGGACGTTCACAGGGAAATGCAGCCACCTCGTGGTGAGATGCTGCCGCAGCCCATCATGCTTGGGAGGAAGCAGGGCATTTCTGCCATCTTCCTTCTGCCCCCTTCCATTCCTCTCACCACTAGGACTGACCTCATTTGCCTGGCTGCGAAGCCAACTCAACGTTGTTCCTGCGGCTCAGCCAATTTCAGCATCTCTTGGTTTGTCCTCGTGTACCACCAGCAGGGCATCCATCATCATTCTTGTCAGGTCTCGAGCCGTTCCTTCCTGTGGCAGACTCCTGTTTCTCCACAGCTGTCAGGATTATTGCTCTACTGTGACTTCCTGTTCACACAACATATGTTGCCTAATAGTTTCAAAAGGCAACTTTCTTTTATGAAAGTTCCTTTCTTTTTTTCTTCCTTTTTTTTTTTTTAATTAACCTTACCTTGGACAAGTGCCTGACCATCAGCCATTACAAACCCATTTCTCAATGCAAGGCGCTTGTTTCTCCTAAGGGTCCACCAAGTCTAAATCTTTCCAATTTTTACACAATCCATTTCCTTTAGAAATAAGCTACCCAAAATCCCCTACTTCTGAGCAGGAACAAAGTTCCTTCTATACCTACTTGTCAAGAAAGCTGCCTTTTTGTCTTTTTAGATCATATTTTCCATTAGCTCATCAGCTTTATGAGACCATTTTACTGGATCTCGGTATCATCCTTTATAAGAAATCATAATCTTCACATACTTTTGCTTGTATTTATAATATATTTACAGTAATTATATGTTCTGTACTTTTAGTTTTGATTACATCATTCCCTCCTGTCTCTGTTTCCCATCCATATGGGGACATAAACAGGTCCCTTCCTATCATTCTCCTCTCTTCCTATTCCAAGTCTTGTCCCTAACAGCCTCTTCCACCAACACAAATTCAGCTGCTATTGCTGTAGTGACAGCTTGCAGAACTAATTTCTCTGCTTCAGGATTGACTCCTGTCCAACCCAAAATCTTTGTCCGTCTTTCCATCTCCTCGTGGATGTTTAGCTGTCAGAACAAGCTCAATATGTATAAAACTGAGCTCTTGAACTTTGCCATCCAAAACCTGTCTTTTCTATCCTCCACCTTCGTTCTCAATCACTGTGGACAATATTATCATTCTACCTGTCAGTCATGCTCCTTCCTAGGCATCATCCTCAGGCTGGTTTTCTCCTTCTCCCCATGTCTTCATACCTGGACAGCAGCCAAATTGCAGAAGAGTCAATCTGCAGAACACATCTTACTAATCTAAGATGTGGCCTTGTCCATCCACCCACACAGAACAAACTCTTCCCAAAATTTCATTGGACTATCACAGAATGGCTTGGATTGAAAGGGACCTGAAAGATCATCTACATGTCCATTAGCAGGAGTAGGGACACTTCCAACTGCACCAGGTTGGTCAAGGCCTTATCCAAGCAGGCCTTGGTCACTGCCAGGGATGGAGCACCCACAGCTCCTCTGGGCAAATTTTTTCCTCACAGCTGACCTAAGCCTGCCCTCTTTCAGTCTGAAGCTATTCCCCGTCCTCCTGTCACTCCAGACCCTTTTGTCAAAAGCCCCTCTTCAGCTTTCTTGTAGCCTTTTAGGCACAGGAAGGTGCTATAAAGTCTCCCTGCAGCCTTCTCTGCTCCACCCTGAACAATACCAACTCTCCCAGCCTGTCTTCACAGGAGAGGAGCCTCAGCCCTCTGAGCATCTTTGTGGTCTCCTCTGGACTAGATCGAACGGGTCCGTGTCCTTCTTGTGTCTGGGGCCCAGAGCAGGATGCAGCACTGCAGGAGGGATCTCAAGAGAGTGGAGTACAGGGCAGAGTCACATGCATTTAAGTCACAGCAGCTATCCTACCCAGAAGTTACACAGGGTTAAAAAATAGAGTATTTTTGCACCCTTTTCACCATCTTGCCCACTGTGGCAACTTGGAATTTCTTTGATTATGAATTCATTCCTGGAAGGGGTAGAACTGTACTGTTACTGTGTACATTTCCTGCACAGGGGTGAGAAGTGAAGAGTGTGATGTGCTTGACTTATCTTTAACTGTTGAAAGTTTGTGACCTATCCTAAATATCTTCTAGGATTCCTGCAGAAAGGAGAGAGAGACATTTCCAGAGATTTGGGCATTTTTCACTTTTTCTGTGCTAGGATGGGCAATATCACCTTTCTGGGCATGCCTGTCCCATTATAATGGATAACTCAATAACAGACTTAGACTGAATACCTGAGGTGGGACTCATCTAACCTAATTTGAGACATCCAGAAGTTAAGAAACTCATGTGTGAGGTTATCATCTAAGTTTGTCATCTAAGTTTCTCTTGTAATCAATAGAGGGAAATAGATACCTATGGAGAAATTTTATTTTACAGAAATAGATTTTGAAACCTGTCAAACTAATAGGCAAGCCCAAATAGAAGTATGCTTTTTAGCTAATTTTAGGCATCAATTTGCTGCTGTACTCCAGCTCCAAAATAGTGGTTCTTCGTCCGAAGTGCAACTTAGAATGAAAATAATACCAGTGCTTAAAAACTAAAGATAAAGCCAGTGCAGCTTAAAGTGAACACTTCATGTTCAGTGTGGAGAGACCTGAAATCTGTCCTGGATGTTTGTTGCCCAGATAAAGCAGTTTGGGATTCAGAAACCAGGCATCCTGCAGCAGAGCCCCCTGACTCCTGTTCCATTAGATGTGCTGTGAACTTGCTTAACACACTAATTGTCAGTACTATCTTTATTCCATATCTTTCTTTAATTAATGATGTTTAAGGCCATCAAGGCCTCCAGCTTCTCGTGATTTCTCCCAC